GTTTCATTTATAGCGTGAACACTTTCCATATTATTCATTACATCTTCTGCAGCTGAAGTGACACCTGAACCTGCAGGTTTACATACAGTCCCACTCTCTGGGATAATTATATCTTTTCCCACTCGCTTTATTTTCTTTATGCTGTCTGATTCTGATTCTTGCGTATCCAAAGCCACAACAAGTTCAGGTTGGCTGTTAATTTTTCTAGTCTCTTTTGGTACCAGTGCTAAAGCAATCTTGTAATCAGGGTTACAATGTGTGTCAATGGAGCAATGTAAAATAGCCAGCCCTATGTCACTTTCAGGGATAACTCGTTTACCACTGGACTTTAAATATTCTGCAACAAAAAGAATTTAGAACAATAAAACTAAACAAAAAAGACACTTATATTATATAAAATTGTACTTTTGGACTTTGTCCATCCTCCAAATTTTAAAATAACAAAACTAAAACATTTCAGAAGCCAGATTCAGTTTGTTTTCAGGTAAAAAAGTGGGTAAAGAGGACTGAAAGCCCATCTGTTGAGCCCCCTGGATGGACTAGCTTTGATCCAGGTCTGAAGCCAGCTCAATCAGAGGGCCCAATAAACAGGCTCTCTGTTCTCCCCCTTTTACCTACAGATGGATGCAGAATCCAACTTCCAAAATGTTGGAATTTTATTGTTTTATAATTCAGACACTAAACAAAGTGCAAAAGAACAATTTTATATATTACAACACACAATCATGAGAAATCTTCAGACTTCAACAATAAAGGTACATCGCAGGATTCAAGGTTTTCACAGCAGCGAGTCTGAAGATTGCTGTTTTCAGGGTTGTTGCACCGTGTAGTCTGGTAGATTTCCATCAGAGGTAACACTGCCTCCATCATCACTTAATTGGTGTATTTTAGGACTCCAAAATAAAACTATATTTATTGAAAAGTTTTTCAGGTTTTAAAATGTTATAATGTGTCTATAAAACTACTGTCTTCCTATTCAGCCACTCCAAATCAGTTATTTCATAACAAGATAAATAAAGTACAACTTAAATATCACGTAGACTCATTCTAAGGGGTAAGAGTATCTGTCATAAATAAACCATAACCCATCACTTTATTAAATCCAGTAAGAATGGTGCACAAATCAGAAATAATGTACTAAAATAATAAATGACTAACTTGATTAGTGTCTCTATTTGGTTTGGCTATGGCTACATCCTACTTCCCAATCTGACGATTAATTTCAGGTCACAGCCAATGGGAAATTTGTTTATTAAATACATTTAAATTCACAAGTAATAAGAATTCATGAATGAGCTGACTTGCTACTATTCAAAATATGTTAAAATTTTCAGCTATAAAATGAACAGGTCCATCAAATATTTTGGTAATTAAATAAAAGTCAATACCCATAATTTTGTACACACATTTAAAATGATATACAATTACACAGTCGAACTCAGTTATAACAAGATCTAAGGGACCTATGAAAAGTGCCTGTTATAATCGTTACTACTTATATCCGTTATTGTAGCTATATGCTACTTTTGGTGTTACCCACTACTTTTATCACACACACGCACACAGACATATACTTATGGAAAAGCGATAAAAACAACACTGAATAAAAATACGTCTTCTGATAATCCATGACATTACGAAACAGACAGAAGAGAGGATTAAGAGATTGGGGAAAAAACCAAAAGCTCAAGGTCATGTGCACCCACAGCAAATGAGGCAGTGGTGTAGCAGAATCATTCTGCCCTCTCCCACCATGGGTAACCATCAAGATCACCATACATTTACCCTGATACCTGAGAGCCCCCGTAGGCCCTCGGTACCCCCACCATGCAGGGTCTGCAGGGATTTCTGCTACATCACTGGAACAAGGACTAAGCTCTTCATGAGTAGCCACGCTATGAACCGTAAATATCATTAAAAGGGTTAGAAATTGCTATCGGCGGGGGATGTGGAAAGAGATAAGGGGAAGAATGTCATAAACTGACAGAAAACTGGTCGTCCAAACTCACTTTTCAGTGCTTGAAATGATTGTGACACTTGGGACTCTTGAGATGGTCTGTTAAATGAGTACTGCATTACAATGACATTTGGCTGTACAAGGTCTTTGAAAGACATTCCATTTTGCTCCAGAATATCAGCTTTTGCACCTGAAAGGAAACAAATTTCAAATGAAAATTGGAGAGCTATAAAAATAAGAGGTATTTACCACAATATGAACCTGTAAAGAGAGGACATCTCCACCTTCTGAAATACACAAGAATGACAAGTGACTTATTAAATTTCACCATATGTTAAAAGATCATCAACACAAGAAAAAGAAGACTAACAGATAATCAAGATACAATTCTCCCATGACGGACACTAACTTCTTATAATTCATACAGCACAGCCAAGAAAGTGGAGACTCTCACAGTGATGAGCATGAAGATGGCTGGTCTTCTGGGTTGTTACACTATTTAGTATGGTACAAGTACCTCTGAAATGTCAGCAAATTTCTACCAGACTACATTGTGCAATAACCAAGAAGACAGCCACCTTTAACCAAGGAAATGTTTACATGCTTACATTCACCAATTGACCCTCCTTATGACCTCATATAATAATAATAATAATAATCCGTGGCGTAACAGCCCTCTGAGAGCCTAAGCCGACTAGCTGGCTAGAAATAATGAAATAGAAAACGACGTTTCAGAGTAGGTACCTGAAGATGGAGATAGAGCCCCGTCTCCGAAACGTCATATTTCTATTTTATTATTTCATAGACGATGGAAAATATCCAAGGAAATGTTTATTCAAATAGTTAAAGTAAGTAAATTTCAAAGAGTAAAACCATAAAAGAACCTGACAGGATAGCCCTGATTTAAATCCAGGACCTCCCAAATATGATGTAAACATTCAGCTACAAAGTAAAGTAAAGTTTGTCCCACTATACGCCATGTAGGCGTTTGGGGTGAGTGGAGGTGTAGCTCCTCTCTTCCTTGACCTCGGCACTAGATGGGGGTGAGTGGTCAGAATCACGCCCCGGCCGGCTTTACCCCCAGGAAAGGACCCCCGGTACCCATTGTAGAGGAGGCTGGGTGGGCCCCAGAGCCGGTCTGGACCCAGAGGCTAGAGGAAAAATCCTCTGCCACCGTCGAGGATCGAACCCCGGCCGTCCAGCCCGTAGCTAGTCACTATACCGACTGAGCTATCCCGGCTCATAAACATTCAGCTACATCTAGTTGGAAATAGGTTGTAATATTATGGACAGTACTGAGTTGGTCCAAAATATCTTTATTATAGTGTACGTTTGTTATGGCAGTGAAGAACTTATGAGTCCCAAGGGGTTAGTAAAAACATTCTTCTGTGAATATATGACAAAGAAACAAGCAATAACATTACCTGCTGAAGTCACCATGCAAGAATAAGAGTTATACTGATACACAGAAGAGAACACAAAATGCTTTCCCACAAACAGATTCTTCCTGTCTTCATTGACATCAAATGACACCTCATTCACATTAAGCGTTGTTTCAGCCAAAGGAGGAATATAGTCCTTGCAGTCTGGACATGGCTGCTTAGTCTCCAGTGCTCTGATGTAATTATCCCAGTACTGTGGTGTAACAATTGGCCTTCCTTTCGCAAGTGCACATACGACCTGTAACAGTGAGATTTCTTTACCATGTAGCAGCAGTATTTAAAAATTACGCACAGATTCAAGACATAAAAAAAACAGAAATAATGACAGAATGTACAATACAAAGCCAACGTCAACATACTACAAAAACTATAGCAAAAAAATCATAAAGGCAGCACTTCACAATGGTAAGTAATTTCAGTACAAATTTGGCACCAGGCAGCAAAAATGTTCTCCATCCCTGAAATAGGTTACAGGTAAGCTCTACAGCCAACACGAATATATGATTAAGTAAAATGTAATGTCACTGCCAGGAAGTGAACACTGGCTGTAATCCGTCACTTTACGAAGTGAGGTACAACAGCCGTGTTTTAATATACTGCATACTTTCCATCTGTTCCTATTATTGCACAATACAGTATGTGCAATAAATTTTCTTATTCTTCAAAAGTGTAAGTTAAATAAGTAAATATGTATTTTCTTAAATAAAAATTTCCTTGGATATTATCCATCGTCTAGTAAATATAAAACGTAAAAAACGACGTTTCGGAGATGGGACTCTATCTCCGTCTTCATAACTGTGTAGGAACCTGAAGACGGAGATAGAGTCCCATCTCCGAAATGTCGTTTTACGTTTTATATTTACTAGACAATGGATAATATCCAAGGAAATTTTTATTCAATTGACTCTTCACCATCGCCAAGAAGTTTTAGATTTGATATGTATTTTCTTGTAATTATTTCATTCATAGAATGAGCTAGATTTGCATGTAGCATTTTTGCACTTTTTGTATGTCTCCCCCTAACAATTCTCATTGACGAGGATATAAAATGTTGCTTCTCCATTCCAGTAGTATTTGGGTGCCCTACCTTGACAGTCAGTGTCAAGCTGCACATGGTTACGTGTGATACTGTGTCTTGCCAACTGCTCACTACATGTCCACCAAGTATGATGATATGCTGTTGCAACCTCTTCCTCTCATCAGGAGTGAGGGTAGACGTTGTAACAACCAGTGGGACGTATTCCAATCTACACAAATAATTTCAAAGCTACCTTGTTTTATGAAAGTTGTTACAAAAGTAATACCTATTATTTTATTTCAAGAAATATAATTCTTATCAATTATTTCTTTACACAAATATGCTTACATAAACAAAAGTGACAGTGGAACTACGGTTCCGGAGAATTTGACGTAAATACGTCTATACGGAAAGGAAGTTTATATATTGGCTTTATTCTAAATATTTCCTTTATACATGCCTTACAATTGAATATTTGGGGTTAACCCCCAGCAATAACCCAAGACCGTACCACCTCCCAGCCTTTGGTGTTGTTTTAGTCTTTTCCAGTGGCCCGGGGCGGGCGCACATTCCAGTAAACTGGGCCATCAGTTAATCGGGGCAGCTGTTTATTTGGGACAAATCTTAGAGAACAAACCTTTTAAACTCTTTACATGGAACTTCACGTAATTGGGGCAGCTGCTTAATTGGGCCAAAGTGTTCTAGTCCTGATGTGTCGCAATTAACCTCAATCCACTGTAAAAGATAACAGCAGTATCTACAACAAAAATACTGAACTATCTTTGTTTTGCTGTATTTACCTCCATTCATTCCACTGCAGGCCAAATCGAATACGGTCACCACTTCTGAGAACCTCTGTAGAATCTTTGGCCAATCTGACTGAAGCTTCAATTCTATCATTCACGAAGGTTCCATACTTTGAGCCTGTATCAGTAAGTGAAACGACTGGTAGTTTACTGGGGTCTCCCTAAGGGAAAAGAATAAGAAGAGGTTAACAAATAATGTAAAATAGATTCTTACAATCACCAGTGGAAAATCCTGGTCTAGAAGTCAGATCATATGAACATGTAATATTATTAAATCTCCACCCCGCAATCACATGCTAAGGTATTTATTAACACTGTTGCTGTTACGTTGTGTTACTCAGTAAAACATTTCTTATATTCCTCAAGTTTTAGTTGTCTGGCAGAGCACTACTATCCAGACTGGAGCATTCGCCATTGACCATCACGATCCTTTCAATTAATTATGACAGCTGGACTTTTTACAGACATTAACACAATTATCATTCAACCTTGTTTGAGGAGTTCCTAAACATCTCCTTCCCCTGAATTATTATTTTATAATTTCCTTGGGGATACTATCACAACTCCTTCTTGCAACAATCTGTTCTTCTACTCTTCATTTCCAATAATTGAACTGGAAAAAATATATTTTAATGAAATATTTCCGTCATATAATTTCTTACCAAGTCCTTAATATTATGTTCGACAGTGATGACAGCATGTCGGCGACTAACAGACTGGTCATCTGCTAGAATGATATCTCCATCCCTACGACTTACTACATGGCTCTTTCCTACAAGCAAATAGTACTGTCCTCCTGTGAAATAACATACAGGAAAATGTTAGTAATTGTGAATCTCTCACTCTCTCACACACACACCAACACACAAACATGTGTATCACGATACCATAAACGTACTTTCCTTACTTTGTAAAGAAATGAAGGTGTATCCCAAAAAACAACAAAAGCCATATTTACTTACTCACTCCATGGAACCAAGTCCTTCCTGAGTTCAGCAGTCACTCAGCCACTCAAGAAATTCCCAACATTTTATGGGTCCCAAAGGTTCATTATCATGTTCACAAGAGCCCACCACTTGCCCCTATCCTGTGCCACATGAATCCAGTCCATACCACCCCATCTATCTCTCTAAGAACCATTTCAATAATATGCTCCCACCTATGTCTAGGTCTTCCTAGAGGTGCTTTCCTTCTGGTTTGCCCATCAAAACCCTGTATGCATTCCTCTTCTTTCCCATGTCGGCTACATGACCTGCCCATCCTCATCCTCCTTGACTTGATCAGTGAATTTATTTGGTGAGGAATAGAACTTATGGACTCCTCAACACCCTGTTCTCAAACACACTCAGTCTACATTCCTCCCTTAGCATCAGAGATCAAGTTTCACACCCATACAATACAGGTAAAATTGTATTTCAGTACATTTTAATCTTTATGTTTTTAGACCCCCCAATATTGTCAGGGTGATTAAGTCAAGAAGAATGAGATGGGTGGGGCATGTAGCGGGCATGGATGGGAGAAGTGGTGTGCACCGGGTATTGGTTGGGAAGCCTGAGGGGAAGAGACCGCTGGGGAGACCTAGACATAGATGGGAGGATAATCTCAGGCGGGATCTATGGGAGATAGGAGTTGAAGGCGACTGGATTTTGTTGGTCCAGGACAGGGTCCGGTGGAGGGCTTTGGTTAATTCGGTGATGAGCCTTCAGGTTCGGTAAGCCATCTAGTTGGTTGGTTGATGTTTTTAGACAGCAGACAAAAGGTTATGAACTGAATGGTAGCAAGCATTACCCAAATTTAATCTGCCCTTAATTTTGCCATCAATCTATTTCTTACTCTTTAATGTCACTCCCAAATATCTGAACTCTGCCATATTTTTAAAGGATCCATTAGCTACCATTATGCTGCAATTTTGCCCTGCATTCTGGTGATGAGACATCAACATCTACTCAGTTTTCTCTGTTACTTACTTCTAGACCAACCTCTTTACAAGCATCAACTAGAGTGTCTGTGTTTTCTTTATGGTATTTATGTTATCCCCCAACAAATTTATATCATCAGCACAGACTAGAAAATGATGTGTCCCATTCAATTTCATTCTCACCTGGTTTTCTTACACCTTACCAATTGCAAATTCTAAAGTACAGTAGAAAATCCACAAGGATAAAGCATCTCCTTGTTTTAGATCATTCTGAATAAAAAATGTGTCAGACAAATGTTTTTCTACATGGACTTTACTATATCTTTTGTTTAATATGAACAATTTAATTTTTAAGGGCATAAAGAGCACCACAGTTTACGTCTCACGAAATAAATCAAATTTCAGTGTTTACAGCATCATAGTTCATGCTCAAAATATCCATTGGGAACACTGAGAAAGGATGCCCTGATTTGTAATTATTTGTAACCAAACACCAAGAACTTAAAAATTCCAGTTACGCTGGTAAAAAAGTAACATAAACTGGTAAACCTCTCATTCACACACATCCTTTTTCATCTTGTGGTATTTAATCTCTAAAGTCGTGTAACGTGGTGGGACTGAACAACGTATCATATACTTTAATCTAAAATACATTCAATCTGGGCCCACTTTCGAAAAGTACAATACAGGAAAGAGAACCACTTGTTCAACAGACATTGGAAATTCAAGTCCAAAACTGTGATTAATATGTGTCATGTTTATGACAAGTTATTTGTCTCTTCCACAGTGTCTGAAAAAAAGTTATCAATTATTACTTACCTTCAGAATTTCGTAACAACCACATTTTATTATCAAGGTTAAACACAACTTTCCATTGGAATTAACAACGTACTACACATTCAGATGCCACAGTACAGAAATCCTACACATATAACATCAAAATCACATAAACGAATCTTCTCCAGACAATAGTAATGAACACATACCGTGTATTCATCTGCCCCCTCCCCCTGATAAAACTGCACTGCTAATACAAATCGGTCACATTTTCTCGAGAGGTCGAAATTTTCTAGATTAAATAAATGAACTGATATTAATTGATGGCTAATGCCCTCGAACTCTTTTTTGGGGACATTTATTATCGAAGAACAAATACGGGAGAAACAGCACATGGTCGCTTGTGCGCCTCGCCGCAGAATTATCATCTATGTCAGGAATGCAGATTAATGGAATAATTGCTCGAGGTTTTTCAGGGCGGTGAGCAGACTGTCTACAATCATGCTGAAGACATTAGCGCTCTATACAGCTATTAAACAACAAATAGTCTTTGTATGAAGGTCTGCAAACTCTGTCAACCAGGGCTGACATGTGCACATCTCTTCGTTTCAGAACATACGCCGTATGATGCGCCATATGGAATAATCACAGGTTCGATTCCGACAACATCGGTGGCTATTGAACTGTTCCAAGATGTATGTTTATACACCTGACTTTGCATTAAATAATGTACCAACATAGTTTTGCCGTGTTCGGTGTTCAAAATTCGGATCATTTGTTGTTCAGCAACAGATGCAGATAATTTGCGTAGCCCAAATAATTCATATGCAGAGAATGCATCATATTTAGACCCTTCAAAATCTAAATCCTGGAAGTTTTTTTTATTGTAATATAAATTGTGTGAATAGTGTTCATTTATAACTTGGCTTAACCTACCACCAATTAAGCAATTTAGAATAAAATGAACTGGTTACTTGTGACTGAATACATTAAACCAAAATTGAAATTGGCCTGAAACTACACTTAATAACAATTGAGTATACAGCCATGACTTAGTTTCCAGCATCATTTGTGAGAAATAACCAGTGCTTAAATGTGAGGTTAATTTGAAAGGAGTGGCTTGAAGAAACTAAGTGTCCCCTACTTTCCTATTCAGCTTATCCAAAATCCATAAAAAATTACAAAATTTTAAGAGTGAAATGACAGATGAAGTGTTAGCCATCAACATGGCCCAAGTTTGAGAAGGTTAGAAAAGTAAAAGGTTTACAGTATGGAATTTGAATAAATGGGGCAGCATTTATATAGGCAATTTGGGGAGTTAAATAAATTTTTCAAACAAAGAAAAGGTTATCATTACTACAATAACTTTCTACAACATACCTAGCCTTGACTCCATACCTGGGTAAATAAGTTGATTATGGGGGGCACCAAGCAAAATATGATCTTGAAAGCATATTTTCAAAATGTACATAAATACAGGATACAAAATAAAAACTGAATTCCATTACAAATAAATGTTGGATAAGAGACACAAATCTCCAAGATGTAGACAATATGGAAGGTATTCTGCAAGCAGACATGACACTGGGTCAGTCTAATCAGCAGGCCAGAGCATCACTCTGAAGAAGGCTGAAATGTCAGCGATACATTGCCACATTGAATACTAGAATCAGTGTCATAGCCAACTGATTTGAATACTGCACCAGTAGTGACATACTGAAACTGTACTGAACAAGCACAGTAAGTAGTACAGGCAGTCCACATTCTTATGAATAGCTTGTAAAGTAAGTCCTTATTCCCGTAAGTGCAATGTTATAATTGGAGGGTTACATTCCCAGACACCCAAAAAATACAATACAGTTTTATTGCCTGATATGACACATACAAGCTACAGAAACACAGTAAATTACTACACATTTCATAAAAGCATACAAACATTTTTTGAAGAAAAACTGTTCATACATCTCTTCCTGTGAGCCAGGATCAATGGGGTATAAACCACAAAACAGTTAAAAGACAACAAAATCTTCACAAGATACATACCAACACAGAGCATGAGGTGTAAGGAAAACTGACTCATGTAATTTTCCTGGTTTCACTGACTGGCTGTGCGACACTCCAGCATTTGCATTTTTGTTAATACACGTTTCTGTTCAGTCAATTTTGGATGACAAGCGAAGCAGAAGATATGCACGACATCACGTAAGTCCTCATGAGCGAAGCTCGAAATGTAAATCTCCTTAAAGTGAGGACTGACTGTACCATACTACACTGCTGCTTGCAAGAATGGAATAATCAGCACAGCTGTCTACTGGTCAAAACATTCCCCAATGCTCGTTTATTATAAAAGTAATTACAATTCTAAAAACCATTACCACTGTATATAAGTACATAGAACTTTCAGGCCACACTATTACCAGTTCATTTTAAATTAAAAAACAAAAACAAAGTTATGATCTCAACAGTGGCATGCCTCTACAGTTCATTACATACAATATGAATTTCTATTAGTAATTTGAAAAACAAAATTCAGGAAATACAATTTCTTTTAGTTATCACCAGCAAAAACAGCAGGTTAGTCAAGTCTTGCTATGATCCACTGCACATACTACACCTCAACACATTTATTAATTAATTTTCTGAAAGTGAACATGTTAATATAACCTTTTTACGAAGATTTCTGTCTTCTGGGTTGTTGCGCTGTGTATTCTGGTAGATGTTTACCAAAGTTTCAGTATGTAATGTATCGCCCTGATGATGGAGGCAGTATACGTTCGTAAACATATACCAGACTACACAGCGCAACAACCCAGAAGACAGAAATCTTCATACTCACCGCTGTGAAATCCTCAAATCTTACATGATCTTTTTACATTTGAGAGTTCTGTGATTACACAATATTAAATAGGATTAGCAGCTGACAATTTTTCAACAGTAAAGACTGTTGTAAGAGCACAACTGTTTATTGTTTATTTTATTAATTTTTTATTTTTCTTTGGCCAGTTGAGTGTTTACAGTAGACAAAATAAGTGAATATCTGCCATTACAGGAATATATACTGCTACATTTATGTTTAATCTAGACAAAGAGGATTTTTGTGCATGTTTTGCATGTACAAAATAAACGATGATAAAAAGAATGAAAAACAATAAAACAAGATATCAGTACATAAATATAGTACAAATACAATATTTTGTTTGCAGATATACTGATATGTGGCATCTGAAATTTATAAATTTACCAGCAACCCAGTAGTAATTCACAAATAAAACTCAGTAAGTAGGATGAGGAGGAAGATTCTTTGTGATGGAGAATAGGTCTCTACCCTCCATGAAATTCATAACAAAAATATTTAATATTTAATCAATTTCAGTTTGATTGCACATTTCAAACCAGAACTCCTGCATTAATAATGTACTGTGTTCACATGAATTCATGTATTGGAATTATTATATGAAAACCTTGAACATGAGATGAACCCGATATTCAGAAATCATTGAATAGAAAAAGCCGAGTGTCGTAACATTATAACAATATTTCTGAGGTCCTTGCTACCTCCATAATCAGGGTAATGAGTAATAACATGTTTGCAATCAATTAATTCCACAGTAAATTCAAATAAATATCAAGACATTATAAGCAGTTTGAAAATAGTTAATGTATGTGGAATTTATTCAGTGTCTTTGTTATCCCTGTTTTCTTCTTTGCTTTAGCATCTTGCCATGTTTTCTTCTGGCGAGAACTGCAACATGATATCCTCAAAGCAGGGAGATTCGGCCTGTGGTTGACCACAGTAACTGTAAGGTGACTATGAATTTTATAGCCCAATAGGTAAATTGTGGCATAAAAACCGCCAAAGCCAGAGGTTGCACATCAATGTAATGAGTGCTGAGTACACTTACAAAATGCCTTAGAATGTAGAAGTACTGTGAGTGAGCTTATGATGGTGAACACAAAACAAATGCGTGGGAAGATCAAACCAAAAATGTACAGGTAAGGGGTTTAAGGCACAGGAAGAAATGTTATAAAAGACAAGTAAATGTATAATTTCCAAATGTCAGTATATAAGTGCTCCTACCTTTCTGAAATTCAGTTTAAAAGTTATTTTATGTTTGAAAATGAAAAACATTATTATGACTACAAGTGTATCACACGCAAAACCATCTAGTCTTTAACAATAATCTTCAGCTATCAGTTCTAGAATGACAGAAAGGAGCAATGACAATTAGATCCACTTTCACCACTGATATTAAACGTAAGTTTCAAAGTGGTATTTTTGACTACTGCATCATTAAATTAAATTTGTATTAGATGGTCTATTAAATGTAATTGTTCCCAAATATAAGTTCCCTAGTTCATTCAACATTCTGATAAATACAATAATTCTTCTAAAATAGGGAACTCAGATGAGTTCCCTATTTTCTGGGGTGCGGAAATTTGAATAGTCCAAGCAAAAACCAAACATGGTATCAGAAAGGGATAAGAAGAAAAATTCAATTTTCTCATTCATCAACTTCCATTTTCTCTTCATCATAGACAAGAGAACAGACTTACATTCAAATTTTAAAACCAAATCGACTAAAAACATCACTTGGAAGTAGTAATAATCTGGATTAACAAACTGGATATGCAAAAAGAAAACATGGTTCTGAGTCAGAAATCTTAAATTTTAGAATTTTTATTGAATATTGGCCAACTAGTAAGTTTTACTTCTTCACACAACCATGCTAACATTTATCACTGTTTTTTAACAAAAACTTTATTATGGTTAACATGCTAAATACTGGTCACAGCAACTTTATCTACCACAGTGACATTATACAGTAGATTTCTGTGTATGTTCTGAAGATGATTTATTTTCAATACTGCTGACTGCACTACTTACAATCCATCCGTGACTCAAAACGTCTTTTAATGGCAAGCGTAGCAAAGAATTTGTTACAAGTAACTGAAAAGAAAAAAAGCTTTGTTTATTAATAACATACTTCATTCATGTAGTGAATATAAACACAGACAAGGCATCAGGAACAAAACTGGAAGACTCCCACATGGGAGGAGGCCAAGGCCCAAACATGGGCTGTAGTGCCATTGGATGGATGGTGTGTAAATATCTAGGCTAGTGTGTCATTTGCCAATCCCTGTACATGGAATACAACTAAACTTGAAGATTTCTGTCTTCTGGGTTGTTGCGCCTGATGACGGAGGCAGTATGACCTCCGAAACGTTGGTAAACATCGACCAGACTACACAGCGCAACAACCCAGAAGACAGAAATCTTCATACTCACCGCTGTGAAAACCTCAAATCTTACAACTCAACTTAATACTACATCTTCTTCCCACCTAAAGACGAAGGACAAGTAGACACAGTCAGACAGCTAACACTAAAGTTTTCCCACGTAACTGTTGCCTGGGAACCAGTATACCTTGGCAAGGACCAAACCAAGGGTAGTTGCAGCCAACCAGTGATGTGGTGCAATGGCCAGTGCGCGAAACCCTGACTTGTGTACACACTAACCTCATCCAGTGAAAGTGTCAGATTTGACTAAGACCCACACCACATTAAAAGTGGTGGCAGCAGTCAGATTAGAGACCTAACCCTAGCCATATCACAGTACCCCTAGAGAAAATAATTAGAAATATATCACTGCATATATAATTAATTCCTTTATTAACTTGCTGACTATATGCTGATCATCTGATGTAAGAAACAGACACTGCCTGTGATAAAAACTTAGTACTGAAGATTTACTGGTTGTTATAGCTAAATTAGACTTCGAAATACACTTGCAATTGGTAAGGACATTTTGAAACACAGTACTAACAATTCTCTGAAGGTTTGGACAAGGATTGATTCATCACGGAACATTACGTTGAGCACTGTTCCTTGTCTGAGATATATTTTATATACATGACATTTCTGGAGTTGACTCTACCCATGTCTTAAGATAATTTGTCATCTGGTTGTCATGATACTGACAGTTACGTTATTGTTATTATCATCATAGGAGCAATACCTTCTCTCCCCCCACAAGCGCCTACATGGCGTATAGTGGGACAGCTTTACTTTACTTTATCATCATTATTAGTGACAACAGTTGGGATCAAATGTAGGACCTTCAAAATGCTAGGCTTGTACGCTAACCACTGCAGTGGTACTGTGAAACAGAAGCCATATATTGCACTTACTCTGCGAATGAGGTCTTTGGCACCTTCAGATACATGAGATGGAAAAGAATATTCAGCCCTTCCAATTCTACGGTAGGTTTCTTCATATGTTGCAGCTTCAAATGGCGGCTTTCCAACAAGGCATTCATAACACAACACGCCCAGGCTCCATAAGTCAACCTTTTCATCATGCAGCTGACCCTGGACCATTTCTGGTGGAAGGTAATCCAAAGTACCACACAATGTGTCTCTTCTGAAAAAAGAAAAGTCACTTTGATAAACCACACTTAATCATGAATTGCCCTATTTTCATTGCCAAATGTTAACATAAGTGTAGATTTAGCAAGGAGTAAAACTGCGTTTGCTAGACCCGTGACGAAACTCAAAGCTAACACTATTCCAATTACAATCAGTAGATGGAGATTGAAAGAAATACTCATTATGTAGTTAAAATATGTTACTAACATACAGATTATACAAATTATGCATGTTGTTTTGTATGCTGGTAAGACAGGTCTTCAACAGATGAAGATAATGTATTGTAAAAATTTGAAAGCAGTCCCAAGACAAATATTAATAGCCAGAATGAAGGCTATTACAAAAGATATTTCATGGTTAAAAGTTCTAGTAGTACAACGGTAGTTTCTATAAATGGCTGTTTTAAACTCATAGCTCAGATGTGTGAAACAAGAAACGTATTAAAAACTTCGGTGGAGAAACATCTTCTAAGACGAAGAAGGAAAGGGAAGATAATCTTGAAACAAACCTTTCAACTGAGTTAAAGGAATTGGTTCAGAATCCAATTGAGTTAGATGGACAGTCAGTGCTAACAATTATCATGTGAATTGCATATCTGTGTGAACATAACATGAACCTTACATCAAGTTCAGATTAATATTTGTAAGTTTTCTTTAAAATGGCTCAACATACAAAGAAAAAACCTTAACAGATTTTTAAAACTAGTAACATAAATGCATATACATTTCTTGATACAGTGCATATTTAATGAAATGGATGAACAGTATAAATTTCTATGCAGTGTCTGATCTGTATCAGCTTTGAAATAATTTTTTTCTATGGGATTTGAGGTTCTCACACCACCAGAAGACAGCCATCTTCAATTTTCTCTGCAATATATGAAAAGGGTAAGACAAAATAGGTTGGAAAATATATGCACTCCTTTCGCTATTTACCAAAGTAAACAAAGCTGGTGACTGAGTTAAAATACCAGGGATACACTTTGAGACAACTACTTATTTTAATTCATCTTATGAGAACTGTGACTTGCCTTGATGATGGGGAATGAACTGACCAACCGAAGTCTGCTATCTTTATTTCTCCATTAAGACCAAGCAGCAGATTTTCTGGCTTTATATCTCGATGAATTACTTTCTTACTGTGACAGTATCTCAGAGCATCTGCAATCTGTGCAATGTATTTTGCAGTCCTGAAATTCACAAAGCATTTTTTAACAGAATGCTTTTCCACTTATTTTTATATAGTTTATCTGATGACAATGTCAGGAGCTCAGACTATTTTGTGACAAATTATAGGATTAATGAATTAGAAAGTCTCTGGAAAGAAGTGATTACGGCTCAAGTTACGGTTAAGTTTCATGGTTTTCCTCAGTCCCTCCAGGAAAATTCTGAGCTAGTGCCTTAAATTAGGCCACAACCACTTCCTTTAACATCCTTTCCAATTCATTATTCATTATTATCCTCATTCAATACTATATAGTCTGAGCTACTGAAAAAGGTTCATAAAATAAACTATAAATAAATAAATAAATTCAAATAGAGCAGTGTTATTTTCTTCCATTGCTCCTCTGTTTCCATGGATTACAAATATGAACTTTACCATATATATGTAAGCATTTTAATGACTTATTAATTAAAGTTTTATCAAAATCTGACCACTGATGCCAGTTTGTGGGTAGACAGACTACCTTTTCTTTCAGTAGATAAAATAACAATAAAATACCGTGAGCAACTTGAATGTCAGAAACTTTTCAACACCATGACTTCTAAGGAACATGGCATGAATGCTAATATACCATAAATTCCTTGAACAGGACAGAAAACAGGAATGAAGACAAAAAAGATAATATAACTCTTACTAACCTTTCTTCAGTAAATCTTTTGTTTGGTTGTATTTGAAGTTCTTTGAACAATTCTCCTTTTGGCGCAAATTCAAGGATCATATACACCCTACTGTCATCATGGAAGTAACCATACATCCTTAGTATGTAGGGATGTCTGCAAGTGGTATTAAATTTAATTACTGTTATGACACCGCATTATAAAGGCATCTTCAAAAACTACAACAGTTATTACTAAGGCAACAGCATATCAACATAGAATAGCAGTTCTAATAATTTTCCTACTTATATGCTTTAAAGCAGCATTAATATTTTAATAAGACGTACTCAGTTCCAGTAAATATTCCCTTACCAATACACACTTTGCTTCCTATGACAGGCCAGAGATTCTAACACAGATTATAATAAGGGCTAACTGGATTGACATGTGCGAAGAGACCCACTCAATTGATAAAACCTGGTACACTTATAAAAAGGAATGCATTACTATTTAAATTAAAAGTTTCATACAAATAACTGAACTATGAGGTACTTTCATCAGTATTTAACAGAATTAATACAACTACAATGCTCATCATAAGAAACAACGTCTGAGATAGGAGATAGGGATTAGCTCTATCTAGTGGGCCCAACTGTGTAGGAACCTGAAGACGGAGATAGAGTCCCATCTCCGAAATGTCGTTTTACATTTTACTAGACGATGGATAATATCCAAGGAAATTTTTATTCAAATGACTCTTCACCATCGTCAAGAAGTTTTAGATCTGAGATTTAAGGTTTTGATGGTACTTTCAGGATTGCCTTTGGCCTTGAAGATGGAGGGGACGGGTTCTTCGAGAATGCTGTTAACCACCTACAAAACTAGACAGCATCAGAAGCAAAAGGGTTTCAATCTACAAGTACAAAGTTGAGTTTCGTATAGGAACACACCACAGTATAAGACAAAGTTAATAATTCATGCCAGATGCACTATAAGGTATTTAACTTAATGTTATGCGGTGTAAAAATGATGTCAATTTGCTTTCTTGATATTAAAAAAAATTCTATTATGAATTAGTTACTTAAAAACAAGTCTATGCAATTTTTGTATTATAAATTTAAATCATACTGTAAACGGCCTTTTCGCACAAGATGTTAACAGTTAAATATAGAGAAAACTGCAAAGTATCATAATGGAAACAAAGTAAGAAGATAATACCTCAGATGTGACTGTATCTCTATTTCCCTTTTCAGCTGATGTTCAACATTTGCTTTCTGAATCTGGGATTTGAATAGAACCTTTAAGGCAACAATAAATTTAGAACTCTTTTCTCTCGCAAGGTATACATTGCCAAATTTTCCCTTTCCAAGAGCTCGTCCAATGTCAAAGTCTGCTAAAGTCCACTTTTTCCTGTAAAAACAAACAGAATGTATCAAAAATAAAAAGATTATATTAGCAGAAAACAAAGTTCTTACCAGGCATCAAAGACACGAAGTGAGCACATGCTGTTGGAAAAATGGTGCCGATAGACTTGCTCGATGCAGGGTTGCCACAAACCTTCAATTTGTAAAAAAGACGCAATATCTGCGAAGCGCAATAAAGCGAGGTATGCCTGTACTCCATTGAACACACCTCTCCAGTCTTGTTATAGTGTACAAGGCACAAAAACAGCATAACTGCTACTGCCCCTTTCCTGAAACCAGGAATTACAACTTTTCCTTCTTTCAGCCTTTATTGCCGATCACTCCACTAACTAAAAGCTCATAATATTTATCAGTGAGGAAAATACTGTTCTTGGCTGCAGCGCTATCCAATGGACAAACTGTTCGCAGTACGACATCCATGTCAGTAAGCAACATAAAATGGACAAGGTGGCAATGGGACAGGTTTTTCTTAAGTCCTGGAAACTGGATGGTATAATCAGTACATAGAGGATGTAGTAAATGCCACTATCATGTATACGCTATTCATCGCCCTGATGACGGAGGCAGTGTGACCTCTGAAACGTTGGTAAACATCGACCTGACTACACAGCGCAACAACCCAGAAGACGGAAATCTTCATACTCACCGCTGTGAGAACCTCAAGTCTTACATGTATACGCTAGTTTTTAGGTGTTCTTTACACACTGGTGTGAGCAAAGAACACAACCTGGGCCCATCCATATCTGTCTTCCTAAAAACTAGCCAACCCACACAACTACGACAATTTTACACAAAGGCGACTGAGGTCACTGTTAAAATAATAATGTGGCTCACCTATCATTTTGTTTTTGTGACTCATTTTTCGCACAAGCGTTGTTCTCCGTAACACCTACAGTTTTTTGAGATACAGATTTTACATTAGAATGACTTGCTGCTGCGGGAACTTCCTTCAATGGGAGATTTTTTCCATTTGTACAGGTTACCTCTACAGGTTTGGATGCTTGGGTCACCTTTGTCATGCAAGGAACATTTTCTATTGTCACTTTTGTGTCTTGATTATCTCTTGAACGTACACTGAAAAAGATCAAAAACAATCAGGAAACAGATGATAGACATCAGAAATAAATATATAGAACACCTAGAATTTCAAATATAAAAGTTACAATAAAATATGAAGTCCTTTGCGGTTCCTGCATGTCTGAATATTTTCCACTTGTTGGCGCACTGTAAAAATCATTGATGAATATTATCCTGGCAATGTTTTGACTACAGATGCCCAACTTCATGGATGCCAAGGATAACAAGGAAACTCTTGGACTTCTTGTAACGAAGCTTCATGTGCCTTCTACACCAAACAGTAGCGAAGCACTAAAGGTTTGAATTACACAAGCAGTACAGCGTGCTTAACAGGATTTAGAAAGAAACAGACAACTATTAGGGCACCTGCCATGTTATGAAATAAGCACACACAGAGCAACTGCAAAATAAACTTGATCTACTCTGTCATTTGATAAATGTTTCACGTTCCTGCCTTCGATTAAACTGAATCTCTATGTATCCAAGAAGCTGTGAAGACACAAAATTACCTTCTACTCAGTATAAGTACTGTATGTGCATGCTAGAAAGCATATTTCAGGAAAGTTTACAACTTTTGTAAAAAATTGTACTGGCACATATAAAAAGAATGAACAACACATTAGGACAGCTATTTATATATTATATAACTACAATATCTTCCTCTCAGAAATAAAATATTTTGTGGTACAGCTGCAACAGCAAAGTGGCACAAAATTGTGTCGGTTGTAGAATGTCACTGCTGTACCATAATGCTCAATTTAATAATAGTCTGAATCAATAAAATCTTCTCGGGCAATCAGCCGCGTCAACTGTTTACCGTAGTACCCGTCAGGCGACTTTCGAGGTATCCAGTCACATCAGAACCCTGAAATGTTGGTTTACTATGGTAACCAGTTGATGCAGCTGATTGCCCGAGAATATTTTATTGATTGTACTCGCCGTGAAAGTCTCAAATCCTATAATAGTCTGAATGTGAACTAACATGGGTTTCTGTGTGTGAAGAGTGTGAGTTGTTCCTTGGGTCACACTTTTAATACAGGCTGGCTTTGTAGTTTGCTTTACTGACTTAACAAGAGGCTGATGTCTATTGAGAATCAGTTTGGAGCAAGGAACCTTGGCAACTTTTGGCTGTGGTTTGTTTTCTTTGTTACTCATAATTAGAAACTACTTCACCTGCAACACAAGAAGAGAACAAGTCAAATACCAATTTTTGATTTATTTAATGACAGTTTTTGAGTATACAGATTATAGTATCAAATGGTAGGATGATTGTGAATCATTATTTGAAGGGGTTTCAGAAGGAGTGATATCCTACTGTAAGGTACTATCTCAACATCTGACTGAACTGGGAAAACTTTGAAAAACCTGTTAAGACAATTCATTTCCAAGATGCCCAACTATAAAAGAGGAATGTTAACCATTAAACTGTTGTGTTCAGTTAACAAGCCACATAGAAGATCTCACGTAATGGGCAAATTAAAGTTACTGTATTTTCTGGGTGTACTCAGATGTAAAAGGAAAAGGGGGGGGGGGCTGCTGTACCTATGGGCTGTGGCATGCAAATTTTAGTCCACTTTTCCAGGAAAAAGTACATCTATTACACAATAATGAATAATAACAATATGATACAAGGCCTTCAAAGAGCACTAGTTGTTGGGCTAAGAAATTTTTTGTTGTAATGGATTCTGAACATGTATTACCATCACCACAAATGTTCAACACTGAATACTGTCCTAACAAGGAATTAAATATGACAATTACAGCATGGGTTCCATAACACCACATTCATCCTAAATGAATTTGTCATGTTACTGGACAGACTTTTATGGTATTGTAATTAGAACTTTGTCTGTGCCTCTCATTTCCTTTAAGAGGATTGAATAGTTACAGACTAAAAATTTCATTAAAAAACATATACTCAGAATAAAGTTATATTAGCTGTGCAAGATCTCTTAAATAAATGTCTACATGATTCACTTCTCTCAACATTGTCCATATGTCACAATTCTGATTTTCTTCTGAAAAAATACTGGAAATAGTGGAATTCCCCAGATAATTATAGCATATGTTAATCACCAAATGCATACAAACATGAAAACCTTGTATTTTAAAGTGCTATGACAGCAATAAAAGATCACATTGCAAAGCATGCTGAAATTAATTTTGGTCATGAACACGAACATTTATATGCTAAAACTTACATGTATAATTCACTATTTCAATGAAATAAACAACATGCACAGAAATCCGGAACACCGTAATCCTTCGAATTGTCGGTGGGGGCTTTAACCTTACCAAATTTACAAATGCATTTTTATTTCAGTATATACTGCTAAAGGTTAACAATGCTTCTTATCAAACCTAACAGTTCTGAGCAAATTTTACCAACGCATTAATGAAATTCATGAATGTAACACATCCTCATATTAAATTAAAACAATTCAAACAAACCGTTAAAAGCCACTGCTGAACGCCTGGGTTTTAAAACATCTGCAAAGGGGAATGGTCGGTTCGCTATTGGTTTAAAATAACGTGCCAGTGTTGCCAAATGCCAAATTGACTATGATTTCAACATTGTCTAATAAAACAACGCAATGTACCATTAATAATTATGATTTACCTTAATTAAAGTTAATTAAAACTACTTAACCTAATTTATAAGTTAAAAGTGGTCATGTTAGAGATTCAATACCTTTTCCCGAGAGATTTAATATGAATTTTGCCTAAAGCGAAATACACGTTATAGTCAGTAATACGGTCATAATACACAGGAAAACCAAATTAAATTTGATGAAAGGGAAGTCTCTTTAGAGTAAAGAAACCTATACTGGTAGGAAGTCTAAAATCAGTTTAATGGACGTGCACCGACTTGACAACATTGTGCTGAGAACCATTCGTTGAGTTTGTTTGTGGCGGTATGCACGTATTTAATATCATAAAATTCTTAACTCTGAAATCTATCAATTGTGAGGTTATACGCATAACAAATCATTCTGATTTTGTTTTCATTGTTCTCTTGTAATAGGTAAAACAGGTATATGTTCAGCGGTTACGAAAGTGTACAGTTTGAACTTCTCACACCGTATCTTGTATGGTGAGACAGGTATAATATGCATTAAGAATGCCACATTTCTGTATGAAATGTAACTTGAATTTTGACAGTTAATTACAATCACAAAATCGTTTTGCAATACAGCTTACGGTTTGCGGACCATTTGCGACTTACTAAAATATGTGCCACTTGTTGGTTCCTTAAGGAATGAAATTCAGTAATCCCTCTACACATTCTCTATTGAACATTTAGTTTTGCCAGTAACATGAGCCCCATTTTTCTCTGAACTTTGAATTTTCTGGTAATATTTAAATTCAGAAACTTACTTGTTGATTGGTTGTGAGAAATAAAGTTAGCAATGTCTCACAATGAGTTTTGTATTTTCTGTTTTGTTTTACTAGTAAAGTGAATACCATTCATTTCTCAATTTCAAACTTTTCAGGTAATATTTAAGTTCAGTAAGACCTTATTAGTTGACTGGTTCCTTATTTAAGTATGCATTTTCAACTTGTTGGTTATGTAGAATAGAATGTTATAAGTTGTGGATGATGAATTGAAAAGGTCATGGAAGTGGCTGTGGCCTCTCTGGAATTACTGTCCCAGCATTTACCTATAAGGACTGAGGCATAACCATACATAGACAAGATGTCAACAGCTCCAAGCCAGAAAAACATTTCTCCTTTGATTTTTCTTTTTGCAGGTTACCTATCAGAATTATCATCTTCAACATTCATTATCATTATCTCTAATGTTTTGAAAGCATGACTTCTGTGTACAATACACCACAACGGCAGCTTACATTGAGCGCAGAACTGCGTAATGTTATCAATGAACGCCATATATTTACAACAAGAACAAGGACGAAAGGTGCTATGTTTTGTGATTACAGAATTATCTATAAGGAAAGTGTAAGATGCATTGCATCCTATACTTTTTGAATTACAGTGTCAATAACCTTTCAAGTGTAACATGTAGCAAATATTTTTGTATTGTAATAATTCTGTGAACTATTTTGGTACATTGCTCTTCTGTAAGTGATGATAATATTTGGGTATGTGAAGTGTAGTTTGTACTTAACATGGGTTTGCAAATTGCTTCATGAGCCAGGATAGCTCAGTCAGTATAGTGACTAGCTACGGGCTGGATGACTAGGGTTCCATCCCCAACAGGGGAAAAGGATTTTTCATCTAGCCTCTGCATCCAGACCGGCTCTGAGACCCACCCAGCCTCCTATCCAATGGGTACTGGGGTCCTTTCCTGGGGATAAAGCGCAGCTGGAGCGTGATGCTGACCACTCACCTCCATCTAGTGTCAAGGTCAAGAATGAGTAGGCGCTAC